TATATTGTAAGATATGCAAGTGAAAATTTAATCACTATTTAAAGCCTTCTTTAAATCAGTACAGCTCCACTTCAAGGAAAATCTAAACCAAAATTCATGTAGTAATTCGAATGATGTGTCCTCAACTTCAATGTGTAAAAATAACAACCCACGGATATTTACCAATTGTTGAAAAAACTAGATATAAAATATATAATAAAATTAAACTTGTACCGAGCAGAGGTATAATATAGTATAGTATAGTATGGTATTACAATACTCCTATGGATTCCTTAAGAACCTCCGTCCAAATTAGTGACAGACTTCAGAAAAATTGTTTCAGATTTACAATATTAGAAAATATGTCATGTTAGACGATGACAGCAAAGTATAAAGTTAAAATTAAATACATACCCCTTCTCAATTTTACTTATAAAACATTAAAATCAAATCAACCGTCTTATTTAAGACGGTTGCTTCTTTTACCTCTAGATAACACGGTATTATTTCAATGATCTTTTTTTATATAAAAATAATAATAAGCAAGTTGGCTAAGTATTGACTGGAGACGATCCTAACATAATCACAGGGAGATGATAATCTGTTGAAGGTGATACAAATTGGGATTTGAAAGTGAATAATGGATCTGTGTACCTGCGGTAAGAAAATGGACTGTCTTCCAGCCGCGACTTATGAAAACGTAATTGTTCCAGAAGAAACGGAGGATCGATTCCGAAATGAATTAACTGCGTAAGATCAGAAGGCAGTACAGCTACTCTTCTCAGTAGAAGATCAACAACTTCCCTTTCGGGATAAGAATTAGATATTTCAGTAATCCTCTGTACACACTCTCAATGGTCTGAGTGTAGCAGTTAGCAATCCTAAAATTTTTATTGCATTTGAAACCATTTTAGTAATGTGGTCAAATAAAATCTACAGATCCTTTACAGTGGCAAGTCTTCTCGGGATAGTACCATCCGTACTGTAATTCTTAGATCCAAGGTTTAGGAAAAAAATACTCAATTGGTTAGAAGAAGTACCGATGTTAATATAGCGTCACGTTTTGATCAGAATAAGCGGATGTTCGCGGAGGTCGCGGAGTTCGAGCCCGCCTATTCGCATAGTACTTGACGCGTCGTGTCCCTCAAACAGTGATGTATCTCTGAACGACTTGTTGCATAGCGGGCCTAAGCTGCAAGCGGACATATGTACTTTTCTAATTAACTTTCGACTGTTTCCAATAGCGGTCAGTTCAGATTTGAAAAAAATGTTTTTGCAAATAAAAGGATCATTGGCAATTTCAAAGAATTGTGGAGGTTTCATCCCAGTCATCGTCATTCTTGGCATTGCGGATGATTCAACAATTAATACGGGAAGAGGGTGATCGTTACCCGCTCGACAAGTAGTACGTGTCGTCAGGGTTTTACATGGATTATTTTTTTTAATAAGTGTTCCTGATCAAATATTCCCATGGAAAAACGGTTGCAAGAATGTGTTACGTTTAAATCGGAAAAAAAAGTTTTAGGAATACAGTGGGACCCTTTAAGGGATATATTCAATTTTAGACTGACTACTCCTGACAAACATTGTACAAAACGGAAAGTTTTGTCATTGGCGGCCAAGATTTATGACCCCATCGGTCTAATAGCCCCGTTTATTTTGCATTTGAAATTATTGCTAAGAGAGCTTTGGCATTTCAAGCTAGATTGGGACGAAGCGCCCCCCAGTTCGATTATAAAAATATGGAAACAGGTGTGTGAGGAGTGGCAGGACCTGTCAAAGTTAAATATACCTAGACATATTGGGGGAATTAAAGATACTCCGCTAATGATTTTAGGATTCTCGGACGCAAGTCAGGACGGATACGTAGTAGCGGTTTATATAACTCAAGGGGAAGTATCAGTAAACCTTGTCGCTGCCAAATCGAGATGTGCTCCTTTAAAAAAGGGAATCACTATTCCACGGCTCGAGCTGTGTGCAGCTTTGTTACTGTCCTCCTTGCTTAAGTAAATTGTTGAAAATTATACAAAATGTGTTCATGTCTCCAAAATAGTAGCATTTTCAGACTCTTCGATGGTTATTAGTTGGCTGAGTTCGGCTTGCTTTAAAGATATTTTTGTAGCAAATCGTGTTCGACAGATTAACGATTGCTCCCAATATGGTTTGACGACATATCGACGGAAAAAATAATCCTGTAGATTGTTTAACACCTTGCAAATAATTAATCATGATTTCTGGTTTTGGGTTCCTATTTGGTTGAAATCTGCGGAATCGGAATGGCCATTAATAGAAGCAGTTACTTTGGAGAGACGAATCTTTATTGTTATCGATTCGGTTGAGAATAGGGATGTAACACACCCTCTCTTGAGGTTGGTAAACTACTTGGAATTGGCAAAAAATTTTACATGTTACAGTACGAGTTTTAATGTTTATAAAAACAATTTCTACACAAAAAATGGGTACTGCGTTGGCCTTTAGAAAAGCAGAGTTGCTTTGGCTAATTCAAAATAAGCATTTTGAATCGGAAATGGAACGGCTTAAGCAAGGTAAATTTTGTAAAGCTAATCTAAAATGGTTACATCCATTTTTGCAAGACGGATTGCTAATGGTCGAAGGTAGACTAAGCCATTCGTCCGTTAATTTTCTAGGAAAGCAGCGTTTGATAATTGATTTTTACGATATCGTTTATTTGCATACATGCTCATATTTACTTGAAGCTTTGCTGCATCAAAAATATTGAATTTGAATTCTCCGCGCTAGGAATATAATAAGAAAGATGGTTTTCAAATGCAACCGCTGTTTTAGATCACTCCTCATGGCGGATTTGCCGGAACTAAGAGTTACTGCTACCAAACCATTCTTGCATATGGGTGTTGATTATTTGGAACCTATGAACATCACCTTGGGTAATAAAAGAAATGCCGCGGTCCATAAGGCATATATCTCTTAGCCGTTTGTTTAAGTACCAAGGCGGTTCATTTAGAATTAATAAGCTCTTTAAGTACTCATAATTTTTTGCAAGCTTTTAAAAGACTCTTGGCAAGAAGGGGTCGTTGCAAAATACTGTACTCTGATCAGGGGACTTCTCTTGTTTCTGCAAAAACTGTTTTAAGGGATATAAACCAGTTTGTTAATTCAGAAGAATACATAAAGATTATATTAGGAGAACTAAATTTGAACAGAGACGAATGGCGACTTATAAGTCCACAGAGTCCAAGTCACGGCGAAATTTGTGCTAAGTCTCACTTGTACAAGGTACTCGGCGATCAGCTATTGACATATGGGGAACTTAACACTCTTTTAGTGCAAATAGAGGCAGTATTAAACTCAAGACCTTTGTATCGTTTATTGGCGGATTCATCATCTCTCTCCGCTTTGATTCCGTCACATTTTTTAACATTGACTCCGCTAAATCGGCTGGATAGGTTTCAATTGATAGATAGAATGGTGCAGGATTGCTGGAGAGGTTGGCGGTTGGAATATCTCACAAGTTTGCAAGTGAGAGAAAACTGGAATATTAAACTGGAAACGGTGATGGTTGTTAAGATAGATAACGCCCCGCCTCTTCATTGGCCGTTGGCAGTGGTTACTGAGCTCCATCCGGCTAAAGATAGAGTTGTTAGAAACGTTACAGTAAAGACTGCGAGAGGGAATTTTGTGCGTCCGGTTTTAAAATTGTGCCCTCTTTTAGACCCATAAATTTACAGTAACATCTTTGTCTAAATAATTAGTAACATTAGAAGTATAGGTTTTTTTTGATTAATATTTTATTACTTTTGGGAAAATTGCGGGTCAAGTTAAATTCTGGTGTCAGGAAGTTTGGCATATGTTTATCTAATACATGGTCCTTCGAGTTATTTTGATTCTGACACAAATTATGTACAGATTTGGCTGAAAAAGAGCTTTTCAGGGCGGGGGATATGTTTGCACCAGTTTGAATTTATTTTGTTTTGTTTTATTTGCATTTTTATATTTTCGGTAAAACGCTCGGCAAAACCGCCTTAAAAACCCATCTAGGTCAGTTGAAAATCAGCATCGATCGGTAAACCCGCGAAATTAAAGTCCGGTATACTCGAGTTCAAAGTTAACGGGTTTTAGGGAAAAACGGACATCAGTGAGTTTTCTTTTCCTTGGTTCTTTTCTCCCTCTATTTCCCTTTCTTCACCTAGAGTTTAGTGTATACGATCGAAGACACTCCGGGTAAGTCAAAATTAAAACTTAATTGCGCCAAGTTGGCTAAAGGCCACACCAGTCCATGATTCCGTCAATAAAAGCTAAATTGGCTGTCCCATTAGCTGACATGCACCCCCAAAATAAAACATTACCTCCACCATGCTTCACCGTCGGACAGACATTTTCGATTTTCAGAGGTGCATTTTTTTTCCTCCAAAATTTATCATCCCGATCATGCGACCCAAAAAAATTAATTTTTGTTTCGTTACTAAGATAACTTTTTCGCAAAACTCGCTGGTTTTGTTAATGTGTTCTCGGGAAAATTCCAAACGTTTTTTTCGATGTTTTTCCGAAAGTAATAGTTTCCTTCTGGCAACGCGGCCGTTATAACCTGTTCGATGTTTTTGAGAACTCTTCCCTAATTTCGTCTGGAAGTTTTGGAGCGCTTGTTTTAGAATTAATTCTATTTTTTTTTTTCACAACAGAAAACTCTTCTCAGTGGACTTCCTGGGACGAGCAAAGCCTGGCTACACTTTATAAGATCCGGTGGGCTTATCTTTGTCGCTTCTAAAACTGGCTTATTTTTTATCGTTCAAATAAAGTGTCTCAAATGATTTTTATATTATTTTTATTACTCTTAATGAGATTGCCGATATTTACTTCAAATATATTTCTCATTAAATGAAAGTGAGAAAAGAAACTAAAAGAAAAATGAAAAAATACTATGTGTACGGAGACTTTGTTGACTGTTTTATTTTCGTGACAGATAATTGATTTGTCACATTCGAGTCTGATCTCAAAACGGTGAGTTTTGAGTGCCCGACAAAATATTGGGAAAAACATATTACCGTAGCGTTGTGAGCGTGGTGTCCAGCCCTGCTCCGAATACATCGGCTAGTAGGTGATAAAACTGCTGATCGCTGTAATACCGACCAAAGTCGTCCGTGTCCCGTCTTTTTTCTCTTTCAATAAGAAAACCTTGTATCAAATTGGTGTAAGTATCGGTGTCAAGGTTCCCGTCGGGTCCACTGCTCGATACCCGTTCTTCGTCGATCACTTTTTGGTAAAACCGATGGGTCTTGAGTTTGCCTTGGATTAGGAAACGCATCGTTCGGTTGAATGTGGGCGCGAATCTGCAGGAGCAAAATGTGAAAGTCGCGCAAAAAAAAACGTTATTTTGCATATTATTACGTACTTAAACGACACGTGCTTGTATACGGAGTGCTTGGAAACTATCCGACAGCACTTTGTGTGATGAATTTACCCCAAATGGTGAAATAGAACCTGATTTTTACTTATCTAAAGCTCGTCGAGAGTTCTTATGTAGTAAAAAGACAATGTCCCCGTTTCCGAGCTTAAAATTACATTCTTAAAAACCAAAACCCATAAACGACAAAATCAGAGTTTCTGGTATTAGAATCACTTTATTTACCTTATTCATTTATTATTTTGTTTCATTACGTTTAATACAGCGTGTTTCGCAAATTAAAAAATATCCCCAAATCGTCGAATTCGAATTTTTTAAAAAGAGTCCCTAAATACCCAATGAATGTTTGTTAAGAAACTTGTATTAGAAAATTTGACAAAAAAAATATTTTTCTAACACTACGAAATTTTGTAGGAAGTGAGAGCGCGTTCATGAATAAAATATTGTTTTTATACTGGTGATTTTTGGGTCTATTTTAAATAGAAAACTTAATATGAACATGTGTCCTAACTTTTGAGATATAGAGTGGTAAATTTTTGATTTTCGATTAAAAAAAATAAAAACCTCTTCTTTGGAAAAGATACAGGCATGCGCAAATTTTCTGATGGAGGTTTTACTGCACAAACTGCGCTCGAACTTACTTTATCCTCCATATTAAAACCTTTTAAAGGACAAGTTCCACTTTTATGATAAAATCTTTTCATTTAACTCAAGAATTAAAATTGTCGAGTTTAATGCAGACATCACTTATACTAGAGTTCCTATTTCACAGGCATGGACCTTATTTTAATCAATACATCTTTATCTGAAACGCGCTTCACACATTTTGCGTAACATTGGGACTGGGGTTTAAAATATTTTCGTAGAAAGTTTTGAACAAGTAATCAATGATAAGTTTCTCTTAACATCAAAACTGAAAAAACAAAATTGAACCATACCACCGCAAAATGCTTCAAAATTACACTATACTATTATTAATTTCCAACAAGAAATGACGACACTGTTCCCTTAAAACACGTTTTATTAATCGAGAACCAGATCTAACATCAATATTACTAAATATTAATCCTCATACCATTATTTCTTTTATTACTGTGTTGGTTAGTATTGCGTTAAATACAGCGTGTTTCACAAATATCGAAACAAATGCATTTTAAGGAATATACATTTAGACTAGGAATTAAAAAAAAATCCCCAATTCGTCGATTTCGTAATCAAAGAGTCACGTTGAAATATTTTTAGAAAACACCGAATTCAAGGCAAGTTTCACCCCCAGAATTAATCTCCCGTTTGAGTTCGAATTAAAGTTCTTTGAAAAAGTTCCCTAAAAATTTTCCAATATTTGCTAGGAACCCTAACCCAGAAAATTTTATAAAAAAATAATTTTGCGGTTACTATGACAAATTTTAAATAATACGAGAACACCTTCATTTTTAAAATATTATTTTTTTATGCCATATGTTTTTCTAGAAATTAACTATTATTAATTAATTGGCTCTTGTTAATAAATTATATTGTATTTCTCAATATAGATATAGAAGTAATATAACAATCAGACTTAAGAAAAATTTGCGAGACCTATTTCGCACACGGGAATGAGGAATGATATTTATATTAAAAACGTAATTTGTCTTGTTGAATTTGACAGAAAAATAAATAAAAATATTGACCTATCTAAAAATAATGTTTAGTTTTTTTTACAAGCTATTGATTAAAGAGGTACAAATGAGGTTTTCCAATTACAAAAAAATGAAGAACAGACTTTTATGAAAAATTTCCAAAAACTTAATTTGAAGATGATAATAGCAGTACTCTGCTGGTTCATTATGCGTACAGTTTAGTTTAGTAAAGTAGAACGCCTTCCCTAATTTTCTGATGAAGATTTTACTAAGCTTTTATTTGCATGCTTTACAAACAAAAACGATACGAAAATAAACTTGCTATATTAAAAAAAGTTCTAAACATAAAAGCAGCATCAGAATTAATGTTCGTAGTTTTAAAAAGTTTAGTTACTGGTTTTACCAATTTTCTAGGCATATACCAAGAAACTGCTGCTTGTAGTTCAATTTTCAAAATATTTTTCACCTTTTGGGTTCTGTTACAAAAGGATGCATTAGGATTTTTTAGAAAAATTGATAGATGATATTTTTGACACCAAACAACACATAACACCAAACCTAGACCCTTTAATTGTCGAGTCTCCTAATGTCAAATTTTCAAACTCCACCCAAGCTGCATTTTTAGTCGGCGTTACATTGCGGTTACTTTATTTGGGATTCTAAAATTTGTGATTACGCTTTCAAAGTAATATTTACCCAACAAGTACCCATCCCAGTTACTGCAACTTTAACGCTTAAAAACCATTGAAACTCGATCCCGAAGAATTCCAGTCCCACAGACTGCGGAAGTGTCTTTGAAATATAAACAAAATATCTAAGTAAAATTACGAAGTAAATTTGATAGTTACGAGCAACCCAGAAACCATAATTCCCTGGATCGGCAATGTTTTACAACATAACATAACAAACAGAAGAAACAAAAATAAATATTTGAACTGACCGACAAAACCTGTTAATTCTGAAAATGTTGCGGTAGTATCCCAGAATACTAACTTTTAAGGTCAATTTTTAATAATAATATATGATGTTTGTTTATCTTTTTTCCATTCTTAGAGTGGTTAAAAAATAGTTTTTATTGGAAACTAATTTCAAATATTAACCAGTTTGATATTAGGTACCTTAAGAACGGCAGGAAGTTTAATGGCCCCGCAACTCCAATATGTTTGATGCCCTCTTCCTGCAAATGCTGAAGCCATTTCCAAGTCTCGTCGTCCCTTGACCATGTCCTGCCAAAGACGATGGTGTTCATTATAGATCCCACGGAATGACGTAGAGGTTCTAGCGGATCGACAAATTCTTCGTTGGTTTCTTTAGCCCACTGCAAGCGATAAAAATCGCAAAATACGAATAATAATATCCAGCCAAAGCCAGAGCAGTGAAAACTCACTTCGACGAATTCCAAAACGTGTTTCATAATCAAAGCCTCCATCCGTCCCTTATGTGGGCTGATTTTGGAGCCTCCCAAATTTCTCAGGCAGGAGTGAATAAATTTTCGTTGATCTTTCCATAGATTTCCTTCAGCGCAAATTAGTCCTATAAGGTTCAAACAGTCTCTGTGATTGTCGAATATTTTGGTGAAATTTAAAAAAATAGCTGCAAAATCGTCGCTACAACATACAATGTTTTGTACTATGAAAAATAATGTTAATGTTTGAGTAGTGAGCTCGTTTTAACATATTGTCAATGGATTATCAGACCTAAATATTACGTATAGTGATTAAAATAGGTTTCTTATAGTACTTGACAATAATAATAATAATATGCTTAACAACCGCCATTAACCTGCCTGTCCGAAGTATCATTTCTTACCAACCGAATACACAAACCATGTACTATGAACAACATAATGGATGGAGGGTAGAAGGAACTTTCGATAGAAGCAGTGCTTATTAAACACGCCCAAACTAAGAAAACAGATGTCAATGTTTGCTATATTAACTACTGCAAAGCTTTCGATTCGATTGACTATGACTGGAAATCTACAGGATTAATTTCTCAAAGAAACTTCCACAAGTTGCTGTAATACTTTTTACAAATCTCCTGGTTTCTTCTTGCCTCTGTTGTTGATGAATAAAACCTGTTGACTTCTTTAGAGGTTAACTGAAAAGTTTTAGTCGCGAAACTTCAGCAAGTTCGATTTATCCACAACCAACGCAGAGGAGAAGATTTGTAAATAATCCACAATGTTTGTTTGAAGGTAAGAGCGGCACTTCAACACCTTATGAGTAGCTGGAAAGTCAACAACAACAATGCTGGTACAGTCAAGACAACCCCAGAAGTATTTTTCAAGGTGACTTCTTATCGCCGCTGTGGTTCTGCCCTTCAGCTACTCTTCTTAAAAACACTAATATTGAATACCGACAGCTGGTGTATATTAATGACCTGAAACTGTTGACAGAGAACCAGACTGGGCTACCGCTCCCTAATTAACACCTTAGATCTATTAGCGGCAAGTCGTTTGAACTTGAAAATTGTGCCATCATCAATATAAAGATAGGCATAGTGGAACGCCCCGAAAATCATTTCCAGGATTTCGAGAACTTGCATTTCGTATTTGGGAGTGCCACAGAATCAAAGTATGACCCAGACACACCTGTAAAGTGCATTCTAAGAGCGTATTCAAGATTCGGAACACCAAGCTTTCAGCAAAGAACCAAATCACGGTTTTAAACACTTGGGCAATTCTTGTCCTAACCTTTGGTCTGAAGTGGTCTAATGCAGGTCTAAATGAACTAACAAGGCTGGAGTGAGCGGTGAACATCTGCAAACCCAAGAACATGCTATATCTGAAGATTCCTCGACAACAATAGTAAGTACAATAAGACGAGGCTATACACCATTGAACTCGCAATGCCACCTCAGATCGTTAGATCCGGTCAAGAAAATCATGCTACCTGGAGGAAACACCCTTTACATGGTAAGTTCTCAACGTCGCTAAGCTGACTTGACTCTCGTGACTCTACGCGAGTTATCTCTATCCAGAAACTGAGGGAATCCTCATGGCTATCCAGAAGAGATTTATTAGGATTCAAAACTAAGAAAAACATTGCCTAACGCGGGGTCGAGGACAGATATCGAAAATGTGAGCGATGGGGGAATCTATAGACCACAACAGCGAAGGCTGTACAACGCTCGCAGACAACGCATACCTAGAACGTCACAATCAAGCAACTAAAATCATGCAGCAACATTAGTGGCTGTGCTATTATAAATAACAGCCCCAAGCAGTTCTATGAGCAAATAGAGAAGTACTATACTGGGACAGGTCTATACAGATATGACAAGGGATTACAATAGACCGGGTTTCGTCATCATTGACAAGGAGAAGAGAACTAGGATTATAACTGACATATCTGTACTACTATAACGTCGGCAAAACTGAGGCAGAGAAAGACATTAAATACGAAAATTTTCCAGTGGAGCTCAAGAACATCTGACACCGACTAATATAGAGACTTTTCCGTTAGTGGTATCGGTGTATTTTGAAGTCTCCCAGGAATTCTTCAGTTAATTGGACTATCACATCAAAGGACATGCGCAGAAAGTGTACCACCTAGTCCGTAAGTTCCTGAACGAAAAAATACTGAACCGTTTTTTCACCAGGTTGCATTAGAATAGTTATCAGTCATTAAAATAAAAATAATAGCTTCACTGCTCAACTAAAAAATATTACAGAGCAAACTGTATTTCAAAAAATAGAGCTAAGATAAAAAAAAGCAATGAAAAAGCTTGCGCAAGAAAGCATGGGAAAACATGGGAATGACATAGACGAGTTGTCTTTGTTTTTTTCCCTTTTAAAACTCTAGTAATTTTCTTCAAAGCGGAAGAGCTTTATAACAATTTTTTGAGTAATTTGGATAATTACTGTGTAAGAATGCAAAAAATGCGCTAAAATGTTCCAATGGAAACATGGAACTGTATGTTTTGTAACATATAAAGTACAAGGAGCCCTCCCAGTAAAGGCAAGGAGGAACAGTACAAGGTACTCCCAGAAATAAAAAAAATATATAATAAGTAATTGGGTCAGGGGAAAATAAAAAAAATAAAACAAATACCATGCCATAAAACTCAATTTAGAATGTTTAAATTTAAATTTAAATTTAAATACCAAACGAAGAAATTACTTGTGCCATAAGATATTACAAATGAATCTAATGCACTTTGTTATAAATGGTATTCATATAAAAACTACAAAGCACCGAAACTATTAGGTATTATGATACACAATCTAAGCAAATTCAGACATACGACCGACCAACTAAATGTGTCTCATATAAACAACAGCAGTTATTTATATCAAATTATATGGTATTTACCACAAATATTTGATCTATTACAACCACTACTAAGTTAGTTAATCTTATTACATTGTTTCATTATTCTTCTTCTTCTTCTACTTCTTGGAGATCTGTCGATCTGTTAATTAAAAAAATTAAATTAACAGATTGTTGAATTGAATAAAATAAATCATATTTTTTTAAAGAAAAAAGCAATCCTTTAACACCAACAGTCGTGTATATCACCTAAATAATGCTTGTGAGATTTCCAAAAATATATTTATTTGAATCAAACAAACATTTATTGCCTGGCCATCCATTAAAAAGTTGCTAAATATTTATATGAATAAATATTTATAATAAATCCGTTAAATTTATCTAAAATTTAAAAAGAATATTTGCTTAGCAGTGATCAAACAAAAATTTTTTTAAAATAACTTTTTCAGTGTAAGTTAAAAGAAATTTTATTGTTGACAACGATTTTTAAAATAAAGTAATATTCTATAGTCACTGCTTGGATTAGGCCACAAATACTTTTTTATTGCCTTAACCAATAAACATTATTGCCTAAAAGTCAATAGAGAGCAGGATAAATTATTGTTCGAACAATTAATCACCATGTTACCATGTCTGCAAGTTTCTTTTTACCTGGCTGATAAATTATCACTATACCATTGCAATAATTCCTCCACCAGCTGGCAACGCTGGAATAACATTTTTTTTAGTTCGTTATGCCTTAAGGCCATAGTTTTGGGTCTTCGATATTTACCCATTTCAAGTTTTAAAAAAATAACCCTGTGTGCGACGTGCATCTTTTTATTCGTTTTCATTTCCTAATGGTGTTCGGTTGAAGGTTCTCGGTGTGGGTTCGTTGACCTCATAAAAATGTTTCGAGAACACTAATATCAGAAGACATGCACCGCGGTCCATTATCTCCGAATCCACCTTTCACTAAATCTTTGTTTGTGGCGTGAGAGGCGCCATTGTGTTGGAACCAGATCCTGTTCGTACTATCCGAAGACAAATTATTCAAAATTACATGATACTATGATACATTTCAAATATTGTTTAAATTTGAAAAATTGTAAAACAGAGAAATTTCAGGTTTTCCCCAACATTTGTAGAAATCTTAAACAGCTTCCAAGTTTTCTACGAATTTAACTGTTTTGCAGTGTGCAAAGAATTTTTGTTAAAAAATCCATCCGACTATTTGATTACGATAGATGAACCTAAAAAAATTGGAAACAAAATAGACACGTGAATGACGTCACACAAAAACTAGGCAAAAGACTTTTCTAGCACAATGGCAACGTAGCAATGGATACTCTCACTCTCGATTCGAGCGGACGCGTGTGGAATTCCATCCGGCAAGTCCTTGAACAAAATGGGCTTTAAGTTGCCGAGGAAGAACGTCGTTAATTATTATCCATTGCGGTTCGATGCATCTCGACCACCACAAAGAATGTGCACCAGTTTTCGGAGGAGCTTAAAAATAACTAGGAGTGACTGACTGATTTTATTTTTCAGTGTATCTTTAGTGTGTTAGTGTGTGTGCTAATAGATATAACCATTTAATTTTAATTTTGATCTTAATCGAGACACAATTAAAACTGCTTTATCAGATATGGAGGTGCATATCTTTATCTAATGGAACAATTAGAAAAAAAAACAAAAATGGATCTTAAAAGTTACAAGAAGACGGTGCTCTTCCCAACACAAGAATAATATGATTTGGCAAAAATTCTCGATCCGCCTCAAATATGCCACAATCTGTAAAAACATCAACACAAAAATAAATATACCCTTGAAAAAATTGACCATGAATACAATGCAAGGAAAAAACTCAACAAATATAAATTGATAGTTTTTGAGAAGACTATAGCATCGAGATGACATATATACCCTGCTGCAAAATTGTATAACTGTCTAGCTGAAGATTTAAAAAATTAAAAATTCTAAAAAAGTTAACTTTGGATAACTGAAAAACGACGTAAACTTATGCACGATTTCATAGATTCTCGAAATATGTATTCATTAGTCACTATATAAAAAAATGAATAAAATAATAGTCAAAAAGCTGTAATTAATTTATTATTTAAATATATATTATATTTTTAAATAATTTGTTTAACTGATGATATTATCTTGTTGGCTCAATTATCAATTAATTATTATTATTATTTATATCTAATGGAACTTAAGACAAACTTTGTTAGTTAAGTAATAATTTCAATCCTGTCGTTGATGGCTGGCGGT